GGGTGGGGACGCCGGAGGCGGGCCCGGTCGGTGGGCGGAGCCAAAGCGCTCTGCTCCTCCTCTCCCGGGAGAGGCAGGGACGCGCCCAATTGGGCACAGTCTTAAAGGGCTCGCTCCCCCTGACGTAACCCGAGTGAGGCGCGGGACGAGCCTAAAAAACATCACCCTCCTCTTGAAATGCGAGGATTCTAAACGAGACTCCCGATCCCGCTTCCTCACCTACAACTAGAGTTTTCCGCCCCGCGCCCAGGTTTCTCCTCCGGCTGTGGAGGGTGCTGGTCTATTACGCCCTTGGGGCTTGGGGGTGGCTTGGAAAGGGGGTCAAGGTGTGAATTGCGTCTGTCCCCGGGGCCCAGTATGTCCTAGGCTTGGAACTGGGGGCTTCCTAGAGCTTGGGGGCTGCTCGAGGCTGTGCTGGAACACCTGGCCGGCAGAGTTAGAACTCCTCAAAACCCCATTCTCTGGCGCATTCTTTAGCCCTCTGCCAATTTGGGACCCCCTTCTAGGTCGCCTGCACACAGTCCGAATGGAAGTATATATCCCTCATACATTTATTGAGTGTCTGTTGCATGCGGGACTCATACATCACACGTCTGTGACGGGCCCCTCAGACATGTGGCTCTGAGGCGCCAACACCGCCAAGACAAGGAAGAAGTATCCTGCTCCCACCCAATACCGATCCTCTAGCCGCACCCCCCACCCTCCACAACGACTCTCCCAAGTGAATTGCATGCCTGGAACTGCGGCCAGGGGATGCGAGGCTTTGGGCAGCTACGTGGGCCGCGGGATTCTGACGAGTGGTCGGTGGTCCCAAGCAGCTCAACCTGAAAGTCGCATTCCCGCGGAGCCCACCGCCTCTGAGCCTGGCGCAGGCGGGCCCTCCAAAGTCTAGGCTGCAGGGTCTAAAGCCCAAGGAGCGCGGGAATGTGCTTCAGCTTTCATCGCATCTACCAGGCACCCTGAGTCATGTCCACGTGGGCCTCCTCAGCACACTTGAGCTCGGCTCAACCATTCATCTAGGAAAGACACTAGCCCTTTTGGATCGCGGTGCAGTAAACCGCAGTCCCCAGCGGATTCACGGTAGACGTTCCCATGTCTCCCGAAAGCAACTGGGGCACAGGATACTTAGGAGGGGAGGGCATCTTGGACGCCTCTCCGGCTCAGAGCCCCAGAGGATTCCTGCAGCGGCTCAAAGCCTGGCCGGAAGAGGGCCGCGCCGCCCCTGCGGGTCCAGGCCCAGCCAGGCTGGCTGCGGATCAAAGAGCCAGGGCCGCCCTTCTCTGCGTTCAGATCCTATCTCTACCCGCTCAGCGGGGCGCCTCAGTCCCCCACCTCAAGGCTGGAGTGCCCACTTTTCTTCCCTTCCGGGGGCTGGGGGGGAGGGGGAGCGGGGGTGGGCACTAGTGCTCAGCTTGGCGGATGGTGATGTGGGGAGAACCCTGCCCATTAGGTCTCCCCAGTCTCCTTTACTGGGTGTGAGCTTGCTGTTTAGTCTCACTCATACCCTCTAGAAGGGGGTAGAGTTGGGTCAGGGAGGAGGGGAGTTGTTATTCAAGCCCAATGTAGCCCAGTTGGGCGGGAAAGGGTACAGGAGGAGGAGCCCAAGGCCTCCCCCACCTCCTCTGCCCCTGAGGTTGTAGGATCTCGATTTGGTATGAGCCTTCTCTGGGAAGCTGAATGGGAGTATGAATCTGCCTAACCCAAAGGCTTTGGAGGTCCTCCTGCATTTGAGGGTGAGCCCAGCTTAGCAAGAGCCTACTCCAGGATAAAGTCCACAGACCCATGAGGTCCCAGTGGACATAGACTAGTGGGGATTGAAATTTTCTCCATGGAGAAAGGACAGAAGTGAGGGCAACAGTGAGGTGGTTTGTTTGTTTTTCTCAATAAGGCTAAATTTTTTTCAGCCTCAAAGTATTAACCTTTAATCAAAGATTATGAACTATCTGCTCTATTGGTGTGAAAACAGCTTTTCTTTACTAAAATGATAGTGAGAATTGATTTTTAAAATATCCTTATTTGAAAAACTTAGCCATTCTCAGTTCATTCTCTCCCACCCCCAAATTTCTTTGGACATTTTATAGGGCTGTGAAATCCCAAATTCTGGGAGCCACTGCCCTATGCAGTCACGGCTCCAACTACTTGCCCTGCTGGGTAGAACCAGGGGAGTGGGTGGGTAAGTAGGGAAAAGAGGGGTGTGAGGTAGGCTAAAGGTAGGGAGAGAGAGGCTGAGTCTCAGACATCCACAGCCACTCTGGAATCAGCCTGAAGGCCTATGAGGGAGCATCTACCCTGTACTTACTCTGGACTCAGGCTTGGAGAAGGCAGGGTCAGAGGAGGGGACCTGCCCTCCAGGAGGCATTGATTGCTTGAGAAGCTGAGAAATGATTAGAGCTGAGTTTGTTACTGAATTAATCTTTACAGACCATGGGTGGGCAGGAGGAGCTCAGATACGGGGAGATCAATGTGGCTGGAGTAGTCAGGCTGGCTTCCTGAAGGAGGCGGACTTCATGTGGGCCTGGAAAGCTGTGTAGGGCTTGGAGAGACAGAGAGGAAAAGTTACTCAGGCTTGTCCTCAAAAGGCAGATCCAGCTCTGCAGTAGCCCCTTGTCTGGTCAGCACAGATTCCATCATCATTGCCATCATTCACACAGTGACTTCATATTACTGAGTGATTACTATGTACCAGGCTTCACATACATTATCTCATTGAATCATCATACTGATCCTATGACATAGGGACTACTGTCCCCTTTTATGAATGAAGAAACTAAAGCTCAGATAGTTTGAATAAGTTACCCTAAATCTCACCGCTTGGAAGTGAAGGTATTAGAATTGCAAATCCAGGCAGTCTGATTCCTGAGCTACCCTCACGACCACATTCTTGTGTTCCATTATGATTTCTGAAATTCCAAAGGGTGTCCCTATCTGCTTTGTGGTCTTTGCAGACAAGTGCTGATGAATGAGCTGTCACTAATAGAGTCCCAACTTTCTAGGTGCCTCATGTTGCATACAGGGGCCACCAGGAGGACTGGGGCAAGTCCCTGGGTGGTCTGTATAGGGTGGCTCAAAGCCTTCACTGGGTGAGAAGGCCCAGAGCACTGAGTCCGACAGACCTCAGTCTGTGCCATCTCTTTCCCTGCGCCCACCCTAGACTGCCTGCGCTGGGTGTTGACTCAGATCCCAAACACAGACAATAGATCCTGGGTCTCTTCCAAGGGGTAGTGACTGGAATATTGCTGTGGCTGCCCCCTGGAGGTGACCAGGCAGTTTGGGGACCAGAGGCAGCTTCAGGGAGGCCACAGAATCTTCTAGATTCATGCAGCCCAGGTCAGAGCCGGAAATTTAACAAGGCTTCATCTCCATGCAGATGAACCAGGCCGACTGCACTGTCCTCAGATGCTGAATGCAGGA